CGGGAACCCAGCTGCGGGGGGGGGCGGCGGGCAGTCCTGTAGGCAGTGCCTCAGCGTGTTGGCGGCTGTTCTGAAGCGGAGACAAGTGCTGGAGATACTTTTTCCCACCAGTGTACAATTCATTCCGCTTAGTCTGCCGTCCTTGTCTGCATGGGAGGAACACGCTCACTATTTTGAATTTTATTCAGGAGCAAATTCAGTGCAGTAGAGAATATTTATTACAGCGCTGGGAGTTACACAGGATTTCCCCTCCTGTGGCTCGTTTTTCCTTTACAAACGCTTGTTTTTATTTCTTATTCCTTATACTTATTCATGTTTCTTTTTCGAAAATAATTTGCATAATCAATGAGTTTTCGGAACGCAACTCACCCCAAATTACATAGTCAGTGAGTTCTTAGAATACAACCCACGCCCGAACATTCCCCCTCCCTACTAGTGGCGCAGGCAATATGCTCCCTCAGGGGTCTTCCTGGTGGTCATCGGAGGGAGACTCAAAGTCTTTATCACCATGTCCTTCTTGTGGCTTCTTTATTCTTTACACTTCTGTGGTTATCTTAGCTAACTATGCCACCCTTTGTGTTGCAATGGTTCGGTACTGTTATAGTTGAAATGAACCAAATCAAGTCCAAAATGGATTAATCAAGTATTTATTAAGGTAGGAAAGCAAAAGCAGCGCTAGGCGGCCGGGGAGTCGCAGCTCCACCAAGGGCTCGCAAATTTACCCTTGCTAGAGCCCCCTTCTTATAGTCTCTTTAGTTCCGGGATGTCCGGTCTTCTCCGGTCTCTTCATAGGTTCGGTCCCTTGTTGCTAGGAGGAAGGCCATATTCTCCCTTCTCGGGGTAAGATGTGACCCCTCCCTCTCCGTAGAGCCCGCTCACTGTTTACCCACCATACATACTTGCTTAACCTAACATATTTACTTATATGGCAAACAAGACTGTTTAATTAGCCGAATATTGCTTCTTCACTAACAGCTACACAATATGGGTCTATTCACACTGACATTCTTATCGTTTATATAAAATACAGATTGTGTTTCATTATAATGATGCATAATACATAAATCTTAACATTGCGATAAAGCTTTTCTTATTTTACAAGCAATTATAATGTTTAACCTTGGCTTGAGGTAACCTTCGTCCAGATGGTCCTTGAGCAACTGGTTGGATCGGCAAATTATCCTGTTACTCATTACAGTACTGTTGCTTTTGTCAGATATACAATCATAGAATCATACAATCGCTAAGGTTGGAAGGGACCTTTAAGTTCATCAAGTCCAACCATCAACCTACCCTGAAAAAAACACCTCTAAACCATGTCCCTAAGCACCACATCTACCCTTTTTTTAAACATCTCCAGGGATGGAGAATCCACCACCTCCCTGGGCAGCCTATTCCAATGTCTAATAACCCTTCACTGAAAAAATGTTTCCTACTATCCATATCCAGTCTAAACCTCCCTTAACATAACTTGAATCCATTTCCTCTCGTCCTATGACTTTTCACCAGGGAGAAGAGATCATCCCCCACCTCTCTACAACCTCCTGTCAGGTAGTTTTAGAGGGTGATAAGATCTCCCCTCAGCCTTCTGTTCTCCAGGCTAAACAACCCCAGATCCCTCAGTTGTTCCTATAGGGCTTGTACTCCAGACCCCTCACCAGCTTTGTAGCCCTTCTCTGGACACCCTACAGCACCTCTATGTCTTTCTTGTAGTGAGGGGCCCAAAACTCAACGCAGTACTCAAGGTGGGGCCTCACCAGTGCCAAGTACAGGGGGATGATCACTTCCCTAGTCCTACTCACCACACTATTCCTAATACAGGCCAGGATGCCATTGGCCTTCTTGGCCACTTGGGCACACTGCCGGCTCATATTCAGGCAGCTCTCCACCATCACCCCTAGGTCCTTTTCTGCTGGATAGATTTCGAGCAACTCTTCCCCAAGCCTGTAGCACTGCGTGGGGTTGTTGTGACCCAAGTGCAGGATCCGGTACTTGGCCTTGTTGAACCTCATACCGTTGGCCTCAGCCCATAGGTCCATCCTGTCCAGGTCCCTCTGCAGAGCCATCCTTCCCTCAAGCAGATCATCACGCCAGCCTAGCTTAGTGTCATGTGCAAACTTACTGAGGGTACGTTCGATCCTCTTATCCAGATTATTGATAAAGATATTAAAGAGGACTGGCCCCAGGACCGAGCCCTGGGGGACACCACTTGTGACTGAACACCAACTGGATTTAACTCCATTTACCACCACTCTCTGGGCACGGCCATCCAGCCAGTTTTTTACCCAGTGAAGAGTATACCTGTCCAGGCCATGAGCAGCCAGTTTCTCCAGGAGAATGCTGTGGGAAACGGTGTCAAAAGCTTTGCTAAAATCCAGATAGATATCCTATCTAACACTATCCCTTTTCCAAACGCATTGCAAGCACGCACCCATCTTAGCTGAAGCCATAGCAAGCACACATCCATTTTAGCTGAAGCAAAATTCTTTTGCTAAATTACTTATTAAATGCACATGTACCCATAGCCATCACTCCACATGTCCGTCCATCTATCCTTCTTCCCCCATACCCAGCTCTGTGTGTTCTTACCCTCTCTACCACTGGCCATATAAAAAGGGTTTGGCAAGTCCTGTGGTTAAGCAAGGAAGGAGCTAGGATTCTAGGAGGAGCCACCTGGAAATCTAAGATATTGGGAATTATTTACACAGGAAGAGGCATCACTGTGGTTCACAGGATGAAAAGTGGAGAGGAACAGCTGGTGTCTGTGTGGCCTGTGCGGGCAGCAGGGAGGTGAGCTGGAGCTCCTCTCCATATCCAGTGTGGTCCTCTCAGCCTCTGTCTGCTGGACAGGTCACAGTGGTGATGTTAGCTGGAGGTGCTGGCAGCCTGTAGACACGTTTTCCTTTAACTCCTCCATAAAGGGAAGATGACTGTACCTGGGTGCAGCCTAGTAGGTCCTTCCTTGCAAACTGTCAAAAAAAAGGCAGTTGTAAGGGACCTTTAGATATCTCTCAAACTTGGGTTTTCCTCCCGCCTCCTTCTGTCTTGTGGTGTTTCACTGGATAGAACTTCCTGGAAAGACAAAACCCAGCATGCACTTTCTCACTTCCTCCTCAGAACCGCACTGTATCCATCCAAGATGTGATGGGGAGAAAAACATGCCAGCAATCACTCCCAACCTGTAACAGAACCGTGCCACCAGCACCTGAGGAAGTCCCAAGCTTCTGCTTCTGACACAGGGCAAAGTCTGCCCAAACCCGCTGCTTAGATATGTGACAATCATAGAATCAGAGAATGGTTTGGGTTGAAAGGGACCTTCAAAGATCAACTTGTTCAAACCCTCCTGCCATGGACAGAGACATTTTTCACTAGATCAGGTTGCTCAAAGCTCTGTCCAACCTGGCCTTGAACCTTTCCAGTGATGAGGCGTTCACAATGTCTCTGGGCAACCTGTTCCAGCTTCTTACCACCATCTTTGTATAAAATTTCTTCCTTACATCCAGTCTAAATCTACCTTCTTTCAGTTTAAAACTGTTGCCCCCTGTCGTGTCACTACAGGCCCTGTTAAAAAGTCTTTCTGTCTTGCTCATAAGCCTCCTATATATATTGAAAGGCCACAATAAGGTCTCCTCAGAGCCTTTTCTTCTCCAGGCTAAACAACCCCAACTCTCTGAGCCTTTCTTCATAGGAGAGGTGCTGCTGACCTCCAGTCATTTTTGTGGCCCTCTTCCGGGCACGCTCTAACAGGTCCATGTCTTTCTTGTAATGGGGATCTCAGAGCTGGACGCAGTACCGCAGGTGGAAAACATGAGCATAGTAGATGGGCAGAATCCCCTCCCTCGACTTGCTGGCCAAGTTTCTTTTGATGCAGCCCATGAGATGACTGACTTTCAGGGGTGTATGTGCACCTTGCCAGCTTGACCTTTCATCCACCGGTATCCGCAAGTCCTTCTCCACAGGGCTGCTCTCAATCTATTAATCCCCTGTATTGATATTGGAGATTGCCCCAAGCCAGGTACAGGACCTTGCACTTGCCCTTGTTGATCTTCATGAGGTTAAGTTCAACATGGCCAAGTGAGGCTGGAGATACCTGTGCCCAACTCTTGCTCACCAGGTGATTCTGTTAAGTGCTAGGCACACAAACCAAACTCAAATCCACGCTACACGACAGGGTTACCTGAAAGCTCTGGGCTGCACCTAACGTGCTGCAATGGTGAGCAGAAAAGGAAAAAGGAAGCACAGATGAACTGTTCACAATTTCACACCTCTATAGCACACTTGGAGAGGGAGACCAGACTGTAATAACAACTGTTAACAGGCTGTTAATAAAAACTTTGGATATGAAGAAACTCTTAGCAGTTGACCTGGGGTGATGTTACCAATGAAGCCATTGACAGCTCATGTTGAATGTTTCTGTTAGAAAGTGATAAATAGTGAAAACAGTAATGTGCTGGTGAATACACCACCTATACTCAGCACTGTGCCCAAGGCTGTCCTCACAGTGGAACTGCCACATGTAAAGGCCAGCTCACCAGCCAGGTGTGGACACATCCAACAGATGCAACATCTGTCCCATTCCCTGGGTAGCTGAGTCAGTAG